ACAAAAATGATCGTGCTGTGGCTCTTCCAAAGCAACTGAGTGTGAACAATCTGGGTTGATGGACCAAACCGAGTTAGCCCACAGGTCTCCCTCAGTTCAGGTGGTGCAATTCCTCCTTGACACTAAGAAATTAATATCTACAGTACTATCTCAAATCCATATTTAAAACTTACTTTAAAATGTGGAAGCAACTTTTGCCTCCTGATCACCTTGTTCCTTTTTTTATCATTTCCCTTCTGAAGCAAGAGGATAAATTTATTCAGTTCAAGAAATGGGAAGATAGAAGATTTTCTAGAACTGGAGATTTAATTATAGATGGAAAACGTATTACTTCTGAGTATACTTTCAGAAGGACGATCACACACACTAACTTGGTTTTAAATGAATGGAGCTCAATCATTTGAATGGAACTGATGCAGTATGATTATTGGCAATATTTGTATATATCATTTAATATGAAAAGTAATACTGTTAACATTATATAAAATTCCTATATTAAACACAACAAGTTATCTTGAAATATTTAAACTTTCACTTGATAAAGCTCATTGAAATTCTTTAAGACCTAATGCTTAAGACCTTTAAAACTCTTTTCAGGCCCTGAAAATAATTTTAGGTCATGTCCCATTCCACTCAGAGTCCACCTCTAGACTGTGTTGAAGGGACAGTTAGAACATAGTTCCTAATGATACCACTGTATGCCAGTCGGTCGGTCCTTTGGTTAAAAGTGTTGAAGTCCTTGGGAAATTCAACAGAGAGGTACTTGGTGCCCTGCAAGCTCAGTTGTTTTCAAACGGAGAGCACCAGGGGCCCCTCAGTCCAACCCTGAGCTACAAATATTCTCCTTTATTGATAAATTCAACAGTCTTTCATTCTGTGCATTCAGAATACATCTTTATATGTAATGCTGGGTAGGGCTTGTTGCTCTTAACAGTGAGCCAAGTATTCCAGAATTTCTAATCTTCTTCCTCAAAGGGAGTACTTTCAGATCACGCTTTTGAAGCCACAGTTGAAGGAGTTCCTCGGTTTTTACTTTTTTCATTCTTTAAATGTCCCTGTGAGGTGGGAGGCAGGGGGCAGCCATCTTCCAGAGACCATAGCGGGCAGGGAATGCCAACGATGGCGCTGTCCATGAAGGAAGGTGCTGAAAGAGGCCAGTAACCACTGATGTTGGAAATGTCTGCTTCTCTCAGACTTTTGCAAGGTTCTTCTTAGTGCTGGGCATGATGCCCACACCTGAATCTTGCTACCTAAAGGATCCTGGAACTCTGTCTTAGGAAGCTAATTTTTTGTCCCCGCTTCTTTCGTCTTAGTAAATGGTTCCATCTGGGTGGGATATATGTATTTATGTGTTCGGTTTGTTAAATCTATAGGCTGCCCGTTTTGCTATCACAAGTGACTTTTGGCCCAATGAAAAAGATTAGTTCTGAGCGAGTTAGAGAGAAGGTTTTAAGGGGAATCATATTAAATTATCTCTCTCTCCCTCTCTCACTTAATAAGAGGGATGGATGGATGGATGGATGGATGGATGGATGGATGGATATGAAAGGGATGACCTGCCTAATTTGAAAATGATTCATCTTTGTGCTTTCCTTGTTCCAAATATCGACAGGTTTTGGCTCAAGGAAATGAGTGTTCCACTATCACTCTCAAACAAACCAACTAAGACCATCTGGAGCTGGCAAACGGCTCTCCCTCGCCGTCTCATGTTCACCAGACTTAACCTATTCCATATCTCTTACCTGAACATTCCAAATAAGGTGGGTGGCAAATAACTTTAACAAATAAACCTACTGGGTGGGGAGATGGAGTATCTAAATTAAGAAGCATTTTCGGGTCTTGCAACTGGTATCTTTCCTGCTGTCAGCTGGAAGGCTGAAATTCAAAGAACCCAGTGAAAATCGCAGTAAGGTATTGTCTTCCAAAACTGAGATGCTATCAGCATTCTTTTCAGGCTCCTCAAAAGTATCTCCCTGTCACCCAATGCAGAATTTCACTCTCTCTCTATACATTTCATGAAAGAAACCCTAAGCATGCGTTCAGCTCATGTTCTTCCCTTCAGGCCAATGAAACAAAAGCCACAGGAACTCCAACTCAAACCCAGCAACATTGGAACTCTTCCTTTAATGTATTATGAATTTTTCCCTTTAAAATAATTGATTTCAGCTTCTGTTCATTTCATGAGGAGGCCTGCAGCGGGCCATCTTTGATTTGTGGCTTCAGTTTGAAGATACCAGTGCTCCCATATTGTACGGTACATTCTTTTTCGATGAGGGGGGAGGGAACTAGAACTTGCCTTAGAAGATTTGCAAGAATTAGAAAATCTACTTTTTCAAAAGGGCAAACAACAAGTAAGTGTTACTAAACATTTTATACTTGGGGGAAAGGTCAGGGTTATAGGAAACTCATTCTGAAATTAATTTCATTGGGTTTATGGAGTTTTACTTCCAGGAATCTCTCTATAAGGCCACAATCTTAATATAGATATATATTAATATAGATTCTCATATTTATAGATACTTAGATATTCACCATCAATCAAGTGGCACATTGTAGTTTGATGGTCATTGGATTCATGTTTGGGTAACCAACACAAGCCACAGGTTGACCTCAAAACATGTTTCGCTTCAACTAAGCATTGTCTTTCTATATTTTGTCTAAAGAAAGGGTGCATTGTAGGATTTTCAGAAAACAGGCTTTGTAACTTATTACAAACACCATTAACGGGTAGATTTAAGGCTTGGGATCTTGCTCTCATGCCTCCAGGTGTTTCTTTGATCCCCCAAGGTGTTTAAAGAATGCCAAATGCCAGCAAATGGTTGCCTGGCCTAGTGGTTAAGGCACCAGGTTAGACACCAAGAAGCGGTGAGTTCTAGTCTTGCCTTAGCCATGAAAGCTGGCTGGGTGACTTTGGGCCAGTCCCTCTCCCTCAACCCAACCTACCTCACAAGGTTCCTGTGGTGAAGACAGGGGGAGGAGGAAGAAGTATTAAGTATGTTCACTGCCTTGAGTTATTTATAAAAAGAACTGAATTGAAATTAACAGGCTAGGAATGAATAGCGAGTGGGCTATGCCTTTACTGAGGCCTACCGCCACCATTTTTATGGCTGATGCTTCTTCCAGAGGAATCTCTGTAGCAAACTGGTCTCCTCAATACCCCCACAGAAGAAATGTTCTTTCTTTTATGGGGCTTTCTACAGCAAACATTTCCGCCACCGGATTGTCCAGAATAGGGAAGGGTTTTTGTGCATTAACTCTGCAACTGGCCGGCACTGCTGGGTCTGAGCTCCCTCTTCTGTTGAATTGCATAACCACCAAATAGTGCCGGATTGCCGAGTTTCTTTATATGCAGAGAAGCTTAGGAAGGAACATCAGAAATGCTGGAATAAAACTCCATTATTGTTTTAAATATCTTTTAAAGGCAAATGTTGATGGCGGGACGTGCTGGTCCTGGGTTGATTCTTCTGCTTTCTTTTGGCCAGGGTCGCGGGGGGTGGGAATCTGTGTTTTGACACATCCGGAAAGGGCTCCGCTTGGCCCATGGGGGGAAAGTGGGGAGGATGCCGAGAGCCAGGTGGAAACCCAGCAGGGAGCAAAGACCCTCTGGGCCCCGAGCAAAGACACTGGTGGTGGGGTTACCCCGATTCCTCGCCTCCACCAGGTTCCAGCTGTGGCCACTAAAGGAATCGGGTCACGACTTGTGAATCTGGGATCCCAGCTCTGGCCCTGGAGGGGGTCCTAAGGGCAGAGGATTCTGGGTCCAGGAACACAGCAAGGTTGACTCCAACCTCCCATCCATCCTTCCCAGGTGGGTAAAATGAGGAGGACCTGGATTGTTGGGGGACAAGAGGCTGACTCTGTAAAGTGTTTAGAGAGGGCTGTAAAAGCACTATGAAGCGGTATAGAAGTCCAAGACAGGGGTCCTCAAACTCGACAGCTTTAAGATTTGTGGATTTCAGCTCCCAGAATTCCTCCTCCAGTCATGTTAGCTCAGGAATCCTGGGAATTGAAGTCCACAACTCTTAAACTTGCCAAGTTTGAAGACCCTTGTTCTAAGGGCTGTTGCTATTACTAATTCAGCCCTTTTCAGGAACAAGCGGGTTGTGGAGCATGGGCATCGTTGTCCCACGGCAGGTCGGAGCTGCTGCAGCGAAGCCAAAGCTCCTGTCCCCTCCTGACGCCCAAGAGCAGAGCTGCTTCAGGGCGAGGGCAGGGCCGGCTTAACGGCATCATGGGCCCCGGGCAAAGCAGCATACTGGAGCCTCTACGACAACTACTCCTAAGAATGTAAATGGTCAATAAAAGGAAACGTACATTTATTTTATCAGCACTTCCAACAAAATCAGCGTTTGAAACATTAAAACCACGCTGGGCAGCCACAACTAATCAAGGTGATCAACACTTGAACAATAGGCGGTAAAACACGGTAAGGTTCAGTAAGCTTTATTAGTTTATTTGATTCTTTTTGTTAGTTTTTATTGTTTTTTATTTTTATATTTTGTTTTAAATATGGTTTTACATTGTGTAAGCCGCCTTGACTCGCCATGGGCAAATAGTTGGCAATATTATTGAATTAAATAATTAATTATTTAAATAAATATTTAAATAAACAAACCTGAAGTTGGTGGACTTCAACTCCCAGAATTCCCCAGCCAGCAAAGAATTCTGGGAGTTGAGTCCATCAGGCTTCAAGTTGCAAAAATCTGTCGCACCAGTAAGCCCATCGTCCCACACCCAGCGGACTACAAAGCCCATCCCTCCCAGCCGACAAGGAGCCTCGCCCGCCAGTCTCTCCGGCGGTCGGGAAGCGAGACCGGAGTGCGCAGGCGCCCGGTCGCTCTCCCTCCTTCCGTCTCTCCCGATTAGCTAAGCGGGGCTTCTAAGGGGCGGGGCTATGCCCGGCTGTCACTTTTCCTTGGAGCCACTCGGCCCCGCCCGCTCCTCGTTGGCCTCGCGCTGCCCGGGCGGCGCAGGCGCGCTGAGTAGGGGGGAAGGCCGTCGCCGCCGCCGCTGGCGGCGTCGCGCGTGCATGACGTCACGCCATGGCCGCCCAGCTCTGCCGCCAGTAGAGGCCTTGTCGCGCGCCCCGCCGCTTTCCCGGAGCCGCTTCCCCGCTCCCTCCCCCGACCCCCTCCCGCTCGGCAAGGTGAGGAGCGGCGGGCCCCGCTTACGGGCCGCGGGGGCCGGGGATGCCGGGGCCGACAGCGAGCCTTCAGGGGAAGGCGCCGGGGGCGTCACTGGATGTCGCTCCGCTGCTCCTCCGGGGAGGCCCAGCCTGACGCCCGAGCCCCGGGCGAACGAGCGGGCTGCGGCCTCCGCCACGCCACGCCGCCCTCAGAGCGATCTTCTGGGGCGTGGAGACGATGACCTCGAGGGCACCCGCGGGCGGCATTACGACCGCCTCCACAGGCGCCGGACTACAACTCCCATCCTGTGCAGCCCGCCAGGCCGGATGGGCTCGGGGCTCGCTGCGATCCCGCCGAAGGCGAGGGTCGGGGAGGGCTGGATGCAGCCCAGGGGCAACCTTTGCCCAGGCTGGGGCCGCACGCTCCCATCACCCTTGGCCGAAGTGGGGGACCTCCTCCCTCGGCTGGGTTGGGGGATCCGTGTTTTGGCAGGCCTGGGAAGTGGGTGGGCGATGCTGGGACTGGTCTCTTCCAAGGCCTGTGGGATTCTAGCCCATCATCCCCTGCTTGTGATGGGGTGCATTCTTAACTTGGCTGCAGGAGGGGAATGTCTGACTCCCTCTTGATGCTTTTAAGTTTGGATGGGCTACTTTATAGACAGGTTGTGTCACTTGTGGTCAGAAAGGGACAATTTCTGTTAAATATTTAAAATCTTGTCAGGAAACAATTGCCAATGAATGTTTTTGACTTACTTCGGCCTTCCGATGTTACAAAACAGCTCTCCTTAGAGAGTCTCATCCACACTCTTTTCCTTTTGTGGGCCAGCATTTAAATATGGGATGGTGAAGTGCATTGCAAGCGAAAAATGTTGACATGACAGCTTAACAATCTCTAGTTAAGAAGCAGCTATGAATCCATTTTTGTCCTTTTTTTTTAATCTGAGCTTTTTCTCTTTTATAGACTAGTGGGTCCTGATGGATGTTTCTGAAACACTTGAGCAAAACCCCCGCTCTCCCAGTGAGAAAGACGAAGAGGAGGATGACCACCAGCCCTCTGATGACGAAATCCTGAAAGGGAGTAGTTCAGAGCAGGATGGGGAGGAAGGACAGGGTGCCTGTTTGGGGAAAGGTGCAGATGGGGTAACTAGAACATTGAGCCATGGGGAGGAGGAGGGCCTTCCCTCAGAGGAAGAGGAGCGTTTAAGTGAAACCAAGTCTCCGGACTCTGATCGTAACGATCAAAGCCAACCGCTCAAGTCCTCCCTGCGTGTTGAGCAAGCAGAAGACGGGGCAAATGACCTGGGGGATGAAGCCTCCTCGGTCATTCGAGAACTGGATGAGCATGAACTGGACTATGATGAGGAGGTTCCCGAGGAGCCCAGCGCCGTTCCTGTGGACGATGAGGCTGACAAGGCTGTGGGGGAGGAGGAGGAGGAAGAGGAAGAAGAAAAGGGAGACGAGCCTCTGGGAAATGAAAAACAGCCCACCCCCAAAAGCAACAGTGAGAAGGATGAGCAGGAGCCTCCCAAGGAGAAGAAGAAGGAAGAAGATGGAGAAATCGATGATGGCGAGATTGATGTAAGTTCAGCTCCCTTCTGCAGTCTCAGGATTCCCCCCCTTCCTCCCCCCCAAGAGTGTCTCTTGGAGAAAGCAGGTCCCCACAGCCCTTTGTAATACAGAAAGGTCAGTAAAGGGCTGTTTTCTCAAGTGGGAACTCGGTGTGCATTAAATCAGCTTATTCCAAAAGCACAGCATTGCCGGGTAATCTAGCCATTTCATTATTTAAGTCGTAAGTGTTTGAACACAATAGTGATGGACTTGCATCGCTTCTGTGCAGAAACTTGCTGATCAGTTTGGGTTATGAAAATCTGTTGTGTGAGGTTGTGTTATTGACCTCATTTCTCAGAAAAGCCCTTTAGTTGTTATAAACCTCAAATGCTTCAGAACAAGCGGAGCCAAAGGTTGGGGGCGGTGTTTAATTCTCTAAAACTGGGTGCATAGGTTTCAACTGCCAAACTTTCCAAAGTATGACCATTGCCAAGAATTGGGAAGCTGCTCTAGTTCTTTGGCATTTAGCAACGTTTGCATGCAGAATCCTGGGAGCAGTTGCTGAATCTTAGCCTCATTTTATATCGCTGTACTGGCCAAGCTCAGCCTTTGAGGGCCGTGGAACGATCTTTAATTTCATAGACATCCAGCTTGGCAAGTGTCCTTGGTCTGGATTGGAAAGGGGTGGCCTAAGAGCCCTGTAGACACCCCGAGAACATCTGAGGCTGCAAAGCAGCAATTGTGTTCCGCCCAGGAGAAGAGAGGAAGACCTGTTGTGATGAATCCTTGAAGCTGGACACGACAAGGAAGCCGAGTGCAGATGAGCTGAAACAAGGGAGAGGCTCCGAACCACACCTTTTCCTGCCAGATGATAGTTAATATATATGTTAGATATATCAGCTTGTTTAGAAGTCAGAAAGTTTCTTCTTACGGTGTAATTCCCTCTGAAAGTGCTCAAGGAAAGCATGACTTTGATTGACATCGTTGGTTGTTGCAGGGGCTGGGTGTGAGAGCAAACGGAGGGAAGATTCTGAGGTAAATTCTTGGATTCTGGAGAAATGGCATCAGCATTTTATTACCTGAGGACTCCAGTATTAATTTAGAAAGTTGTTGCAAAGAACATTTCATTTTCTTAGTGCTAGATTTCAAATCCATGCTTACTTATCCTGCCCCATGTTGCAAGAGCTGCTTCACCTTTTTGAAGATGAATTCAGAATGCTGAGTCTTTCCAAGGGTAGATGACGTTGATGTTATTGCAATTAAGCCTGCGTGGTGAGAGCAAGAAATCCTCAGTGGTTGGGCTGAGGAGAGTTCTGGCAGGAGTCAGAAAAGAAGACCAGCTTGGCCTTGAAACCAAAATGCCAACTTACTGCTTGACAACTTTCAAAGGCCTGATCCTAGAAGGTTAGAAGAATGCTAGCAAGGAGCAACAGAAGAAGTTGGGAAGATCTAATGTGAGTGTCCTGTTATAACCATTCACATGGGCTGATCTCTGGTTTCTCATCTTGGCTTGCTCCGGTTCTCATGGTTGAAGGTTTGTTGTCATTGCAACTTCTGCCTTCTGAGTTCCTGTCTCTCTGTGTCTTTCAGGATGATGACCTGGAGGAGGGAGAGGTGAAAGATCCCAATGACAGAAAAATGAGGCCACGTCTTACCTGCCGTTTTTTTGTGAAAGGTACACATTAAAGCCAATGGTGTCCCTTCCTCCTGAGCAACAGCAAGGAACCTCCGTTTCTTGGACAGCCAGCCTTCAGAATCTTGTGGCTTCTCCTCTGTTCCTTAGATGGTTTCTAGCTGTCAGAGGTCACCTTGCACCAAAACGATTACACCAAAATATCTCAGTGTTCAATTGCTTTAAAGAAGCCCAAACATGGTGCATAAAGACAGTAACCCTCATCCAGTAACACTGCTCAGCATTTAGAAACTTAGTTTAGCTATCAGCATTACACAACTGTTTTGGTCAACATGGATTTAACACAACTGCCTCCTTTTGCTGCCATTGTTGATTGTTTGGGTGGCAACAATTTTTCAAAGAATCTTTGGTGTGCATTCTCACACGGTTTGTGCTGCAGTTTCAATTTTTGAATATGTTTTATTGTATGTAGTAATCGTTGTTGTTGTTGTTTTACTTCATTGTGCAAGGAAAACATTTGAAGTGTAGAATACAATTTCTTTAAGTAAACCAAACGATGCTCAGAAGAATCTCCTTCACATAACTCAGTGGTTGAAGAACCAGACAAGGCAAGAGAGGGGTTGTGTTGCGTTGACAGACTTTCTCAAACAGGTGCCTTGTGCTTTGTGTGAAGTTTGTTTTGTTTGGGCCTTTTTTAAAACTCTTTTGCTTATTTCTCCATAGGGAACTGTACTTGGGGCATAAACTGCCGATTTATTCATCCTGGTGTGAATGACAAAGGAAACTACTCCCTGATTACCAAGCCAGATCCTTTCTCTTCTAATGGTGCCCCTCCTATTGGCCCTGGTCCTCACCCTTTGATGCCAGCCAACCCTTGGGTACAGTATTGCATCAGTGTTTATTGCCTGAATTTGAGGGTGCTGAAACCCTGGATAATGAGCAGAGGACATACAGGAGAAGGAGATGGCAGAGCCAGGCCATCTGGCCATGTGATAAGCATGACATGCTTTGGGGGTTCTTGCATTAGAATGTTATAGGTCTAATATTAGAAGAGCTGGGATACTTGAAGTCTTGTTCAAGCAACCCTGATTGGAGCAGAGAGAATCAAGATTGGATACACGTCAGTGTTTATGTAGTTTCTCTTCTGGACTAAGCGTCCAGTCCACCTGAGCCACGCTGCACATGTAGAAAACACTAGTTGCTTACAAAGTAGTAGGCAGCCTAGGAGGAGAGTGAGGCCAATCACCTAGCAGCTGATAGCTTTTCTGGAGTAAAAGATGGTTTTGTGAAAACGAGCCTCACTGAAGTCTTCCTGCCCTCTTTCTTAACAGGGAGGGCCCGGTGTGGAAGAAATCTTCCCGCCCCCACCTCCTGACCCTCCAACAGAAGGTGCCTGGGAACGGGGCCTCCGACACGCGAAGGAGGTGAGTTTGTTCTTGCTTCTTGTGCAGAACAGGGGAAAGGAAGGGCTGACAAGTCCCTTTATCGGTGTCCTCTCTTACCAACCACCCGTTCAGTGACCGAAGTTGCAACAGTGGTACTCAAGATCCATCCTCAAAATTGTTTAAGTCAACTATTTGAAAACAGCATGTTTACTTCCAGGTGCGTTGTGCATAAAGTAGCAAGATTCAGACTTGGTGGTTCTTAAGAAAGGGCCAGGTGCTCAGCCTCCTAATCTGAAAATTCCCTGTTATTCTAAAACACAAAGCAGCTTTCCCAGCCAGGGACTTCCAGATGTGCTGGCATGCTGGATGTGCCAACTCAGAAAGCTCAAACTGCCCAAAAGGAGCTACTGATCCAGTTCTGCAGAGGGATTATTGAGCCTGTCATCTGCACCTCTGTAACTGTCTGGTTTGGTTCTGCAACCCAACAAGATAGACACAGACTCCGGAGAGTAATTAGGACTGCAGGAAAAACAATGGCTACCCACCTGCCTTCCATGGAGGACCTGTATACTGCAGGAGTCAAAAAGAGGGCTGTGAAAATATCTTCAGACCCCTCACATCCTGGACATAAACTGTTTCAACTCCTTCCCTCAAAACGACGCTATAGAGCCCTGCACACCAGAACAACTAGACACAAGGACAGTTTTTCCCCAAAGCCATCACTCTGCTAAACAAATAATTCCCTCAACACTGTCCAACTATTTACTCAGTCTCCACTACTATCACTATTAATCTTCTCATCACTCCTTATCGCCCATCCCCTCCCACTTGTGACTGTATGACTGTAACTTGGTCGCTTGTATCCTTACGATTTATATGGACTGTTTCCTAGTATGATTTGATGGCTTATTGTGCCCTATGACTGTGATTAAGTGTTGTACCTGGTGATTCCTGACTCTTGGCGAATGTCTCTTTTCTTTTTATGTACACTGAGAGCATTTGCACCAAAGACAGATTCCTTGGGTGTCCAACCACACCTGGCCAATAAAAGATTCTAATTCTAATTTGGGAATTCTGGAGTCGCTGCTCCAATACTTCTGGAGGTGTCAGGCTGGGGAGGGATGCCGGGCCCGTTTTGTCATCCCTTTGGGGAAACTACTGCTCCTGCCCACTCCCCCCCCCCTCCAGGTGCTGAAAAAGGCTACCATGAGGAAAGAACAAGAACCCGATTTCGAAGAAAAACGGTTTACAGTAACGATTGGGGAAGACGAGCGCGAATTCGACAAAGAAAATGAATTTTTACGAGACTGGAACTATCGCATCACTCGGGACGTGCAGGATTCAAGGTAAGGGGGCCTGCTGGCGTCTTCCCCCTCCATGCCAAAGGCTGCCTCTTTGGGGGCCTTCCTCTCCAGTCCCGCTGCCACCCACCAGAGGGCGCTGTTGACCAAGCAGTTAGCCGGCCCTTGCTCTGTTGTCCCATCCTGTCTTGGCTACTGCTGTTTGCCGGGCCCAACCCAGTGTGCCTACAGCCTGGCGGGTTTTTATCTTCGGCCTAGCCGTTTATTTATCGATTCAGTTTATGCTCTGCCCACCACTCTGTCCAAAGCGACTCCTTGGATCCTGATGGCAGCACTGCGCCTAAGAAGCGGAATGGCTGCATGTCATCAGTCGTTGGGTTGAAAACCACCCACCGGCCTGCCTGCTTCAAGTGCCTTATGTGGAACACACTGGGCACTGCTGCAGCCCACTCCTCCTCCTCCCGAGGTGCAGGGTTTGCTCTGACTGCCCCTTGTGGTTCTTGGAGCATCTTTCAATACAGTGGCTTCCATTCAGGAAGTCCATCGTACTTAACCTTAAAAGAGTTAAGGCCTCCTTAGAGAAGGCTTTGTGAAGGAGGTTTAAGTGTCTCTGGCGGTTTTGAGTGGTTTGGGGTGTATGGATCATAGATCCCGTCTCATCCCAGTTTTTCTGAACACTTTACAAAGCCCCCTAGGAGAATAAAGCCAAGGAAAGTCTTTTAACAAGAGACATGATGGACCGTTGGGCTCTTCTTCACATCCTTAGTTGCACTACATGTAAATGCAGAAGTTGGCACCAGGAATCGGAATTAGGAGATACACCTGGTGGGACCCAGAAGAAGGGCCTTCTCTGTGATGGCTCCCTCTCTGGAACCTCAGTCCCCCAGAGATGAGAACGGCCCCCACTCCAGCACTCTTCTGGAAGGCACTAAAGACCCGGGCCTGGGGAGCCCAGAGCAGGATGGAACCCATTAAATGGCTCGTGTGATCTGCTGTCACCAGGGCAGTTGGGGGGTGATTTTGTTATATTGTGCTATATTAATTTATTTAATTCTTTTTGTTATTTTATTGTTTTAAATGCGGTTTTATATTCTGAAAGCCGCCTTGAGTTGCCCTGGGCAAATAGGCAGCAATATAAATTCAATAAAGAAAGAAAGAAAGAAATAGCATTCTTCCTGCTCTTAACTTGTGACACAGTAACAGCAAATAAATTCTGCAAAGGTGCACCTTTTCTTTTAACTTGTCGTCATTAATTCAAGACCTGGACAGGTTGACCAAACAGATTTTCAAGCTGCTCTGGCCATTGATCCTAGTCCATATTTTTGTTTTCCACTTCAGGAGGTTACTCTGAATTGGCTGTCCTTCTAAAACATGCCTTTACATTTCTTGAAATATTATTATTGATCATCTCCCCAAATGATCCACATAGGAAATGTTCTAGGGTGGATAACGTGTCATCGCTTTATTCTTCCGGAGGGAAGTCCTCTGTTTCTAAAACTGGGGTGCAGCATCTTTCGGGGGCTACCTTTTATGCTCATTTGTTTGATTCTCAAATGTTAGATTATAAAATTGTACACATTTATTGGTTTTCACTGCTTTGGACCAAAGGCTGCTTCAAATAACATAGTTTTTTAAAGGTGTTCAGAAATGCCAAGTAGATCTTAAGTAGTTTGGTCAGTTAGAAATTTTTCCCAGTTTGCATCATTTCACTTCCCTAAGAATCTATTTTTGAAACAATTTCAGTTTGCTTTGAGATTAACACATGACTATGGCTAATTCATTCATGACTCTGTTTTCTCCACCGGTTTCCTCAAAACTACCAGTGACACCGAAGTCAAAGAGAACATTAATTATGGGTAAGCAACCCCTCATGGCTCGTGCATTCATAACCAGGCCAAACGTTACTTTCCTTTCGATTCTTCAGAAATCTTAGCTCAGTGTCTGTGGTTGCGGAGTTCTTTATTTCCACCTGGCCCTTTTGTGCTGGCATGCCTGTCTGTTTGGAAGTTGCCATGCGGTGGCAACCTCTTGGCAACATTTACAGCGATAGCAAGACTTCTAAATAAAGTACAAAAAATAGGTGGCGTTTCCTGAAGCCGTCCCAAGAAGGAAGGAGAGAGAGAGAGAGCAGAACAGAAACCCTACCTTTCCCAAAACCTATGCCAAATTCCTTCCATTTGTCAGGGGCCGTTTGTCACTGATTACGATGAGCAGGTTTTCATAGAAAGTTATGGCCATTCTGTGTCGCTATGCTGACTTCAGGAGTAATCCAGGAAGGCTTGTTTTCAAGTATTTGCTTGGGCCAATTGATGGTGTCCTAATCAAGTAACTAATGATGCGTTGAGCAGCCTGCTCATAATTCCGCTTCATTTTTCCCCAGAGAAGAGGGGTCGGAACTAATAGTATGGATAAGATGATAGAGGAATCTAACAGCACCCTTCTTAGTCTAAGTCAAGCATGAGCTACTGACCCATAAAATCTTCCCTTAACCAGGGCCTCGTCTTCCGTTTCTGGCCCTCCACTTGTTTTTCAAAGATGAATCCCAAAAGGTTGAGGCAAGAGAGGCTGTCGAAAAGCTAATATGATTTGCATGAATCTGGATTTTTTGGGGGTGGGGGGGGGTGGCTCTTTGTGCTTGTATGAATATTGCAAAGGGGCCTCCCCTGGGAAACATGTTTCTTGCTTCCAAGCGGTGATGGCTGAATAGGACCCCGCAGCCAAGCACTGATGAGAATAACGTGGGATTTGATCTCTTCTGTTCCTTTCATTGGTCTGCAGGCTCGACCCATATTCCGATCCCTACTATGATTACGATATAGAACGCTTCTGGCGGGGAGGGCAGTATGAGAACTTCAGGGTCCAGTACACGGATCCAGACCCCTACCGCAATTACAGGCTGAGTAAGGTAAGCGCCTGCACCTGGCTGGGCTTCCTCTTTATTTCGTTCAGGCGCTTGTTTGAAGCGGCTCCAGCTTGACGTCCCATGTGGCTGTAGCAATATAGGCCACATATAGGCCACCTACGACTACAATTGAGCCCCAAATCCCTAGCACTGCTAAGCAAGATAGTCATGAAGTGAGCGTCATCCCCTTTTTATGGCTTTTCTTGCCACATTCATTAAGTGAATCGCTGCAGTTGTTAAGTTAGCAACACAATTGTTAAACAAATCCAGCTTTCCCACTGACTTCGCTTGTCGGGGACGCCGCAGCCGTCACAACTATGAGTCAGTTGCCAAGTGTCTGGATTTTGTTCACGTGACCACAGGGAGCCTGCAGTGGTCTTAAGTGTGAAAAAGAGTCATAAATCACTTTTTTCAGCGCCATTGTAACTGAACGGTCACTAAATGAATTATTGTAAGTTGAGGACTACCTGCCGTCTCTCCATCCATTAGCTCGTATTTTTTGCTCGCGTGTCTCAAATTGCTAGAGGAATTTTGAGAAACAAGAAGTGTGGCTTTTATACACATAGAGATTGGAACAAAGCTTGGTGAAGAGCAACCTGTAATTTTATTGGTTTAATGGTGGGCCTCTGGGAGTAAATATCCAGAGAATGAAGTCATTAAGTGTTGTTGAGCCAACTAAAGACTTTCCTTGGCGTGACATGATTCAAAACTTGCTGTGGGTCAAAGGTAGCCTCTAAACTGGATTTTTCTTTCTTTCTTTCCCCAGGAAAGGGAGCGAGAGAGGGATCGGGAGAACCGGCAGCGGGAACGGGAGCGAGAGAGGGAGCGGGAACGGGAGCGAGAACGGCGGCAGAGGGAGCGGGAGCGTGAAAGGGAACGGGAGCGTGACAAGGAGCGCCAGAGGCGGAAAGAAGAGTGGGAGAGGGAGCGGGAGCGCATCAAGCGAGATGACAAGGAGCGCCCACACCGGGACCGAGATCGGGAACGCGAGAAAGAGCGCGAGAAAGAGAAGGAGAAGCCAAAGCCTCGATCCCCACCGCCAGCCAGGTATGGATTGCGTTCGATGGTCTCGTGCAGGGGACTCCAAACTCAGCAACTTTAAGACCCGTGGCCTTCCAGAATTTCCCAGCCAGCTGGAGGATTCTGGGAGTTGAAGTCCACGAGTCTTAAAGTTGCCGAGTCTGGTCAAGGGGCATGGGCCTTGGTTCCAGGGGGCTGACAGCTGAGCAGGTCAGCTCCTCCTTAGATCAGCTCTGGGAATGTTGAGCATAGACAGAGGTGTGTGCTTGGCAGAGTTAGGACCAGGGTTACCCCCCCCAAAGGCTGGAGACGCACAGGCCCCTGCTTGGAGAAAACCTCTGCTGGGGAGGTTGTCTGATACCAACGCAAATTACAGAAGGATTCTGGGGGTTTGCCTGTGTCCTTGTCCTTCTTCCCCAAAATCTCCTGTTTCCCCACTCCTTCCCTTCTTTTTAAGCAGTTTGAAAAATTTGTGCAGAATGTGGGCTGTTCTTGGTATCGGCGGGGTTGGAAGGTGGTTGTGGGATTCTTTTGAGAACAGATTAGAACGACGCATCCCGCAGAGTTGTCCTAGATAGAGGCTGTTCATCTAAAGAGCCGTCGCTGGAGTTGGCTATGTCTAGCTTAATGAAAAGAAGGAATAGGGGGTGACATGATGGCAGTCTTCCAGTATCTCAGGGGTTGCCCCAAAGAAGGTGGGGTGGGGGGTGAATCAAGCTATTCTCCAAACAGCACCTGAGGGCAGGAGAAGAAGCAACGGGTGGAAACTAATCCAGGAGAGAACCAACCTAGAACTAAGGAGGAATTTCCTGAGAGTGAGAACAGTTAGTCAGTGGAACAATTTGCCTCCAGAAGCTGTGGATGCTCCAACACTGGAAGGTTTTAAGGAGAGACTGGACAACCAGTTGCCTGGAATGGTATAGGGTTTCCTGCCTAAGCAGGGGGTTGGACTAGAAGACCTCCAAGGTCCCTTCCAACTCTGTTATTCGGTTATTCTGCGTGGCGTGTTTGTCTCTGTGCCCGTTGCCTCTCCAGCTTTGCGTTCTTTGCTCTTGGCAGAGCAGCGAGCCAGGCCCGAGGGCCGCCAGACCCCTCCCCTCTCATTTCTGGCATTCTTGGCCTTGAGTTGTGCCAACATCCTCAGCGGCTTGGCTTGGGATGGGTGTAAGCCTGCCAGGAAAGTGCACTGTGTCCCAACCTCTGCTTCACTCCGAAGTATGAATGTGTGTGAATAATCAGGTGAAGCCATGGTGTGATGTAAGATTGAAATGTACACCAATTGCTAAAAGTCCCAATTTCCCAGGCTGCTGAGCCTTTCCCCCTTGGGGAGTAAACCTCATTGTGCTTCCTCTGAGATTTATCCCACTCTTGGTTTTCCACGAAGACCCCAGGTGGGCCTCTGTCATTCAGTTTGATTTCCCGGTGAGGGAGATGACGTTGGAGAGGATTTGAGAAAAAGAACTTGATTGGTTTTTGCCGTTGCCGAGGTTACTCCGTGCTTTTAATGTTTTTAAATAATTACTACACAATAGTACTAATGGTTTTCTGCATATACTGTTTCGTTGGATTGCTGTGCACTGCCCAGAGTCACTTTCCATGAGATGAGAGGCTGTATAAAGAGGCCGTATGAATTAATTAAGTTAACTTAAAAATAAATACAGCCTTCATCTTCCAGAAATTGGCTCAAACGTTACATGCCTTTAATTCTGGAGAGTCATGCTTAAGTCCTCTACCAATTTTCTTGGTAGTAAGTTCTATTGAATATAGTTTGACTTATTTTTGAATAAAGATTCATACAAAGAATCATTCCAATAAACCACCTGCATTTTAAGATTTTTTTTCTCCCGCAAAACAAGAGAAAAGTAACAAGGAAAGTGGCGCTTTCCTTTTGCAACTTCAGCAGTTATCATCAGTTTAACTGCAAATCTGCCTACCAGGCTGGTGTTTGAACAAGTGGGAAGTAGATTTTATTTTTGTCTTTCAGGAATGCTTATTTTTATTATGCCGCGTTTAATCAGTTGCAAATCTTTTTACTCAATAATTGTTGCTTTATTACCCATAGTCAAGGCCACATGTTTCTGTGTTTTTGATAAGCTGGTGTCTAATTATAGCTCTTAATTTGGTGTTCTAAGCAGAAAACAATCTGGAGAATTGTTTAGTGTGTATGTCGCCTTTGTATTTAACTAGCCGGCTTCTTCCTTGGAGTAGAAGTGACTTCACGTTAATTGAGTTTATTTATAGACTGCTGTGCTTTCCCTAATCCTTAAACCTTGGCTCAGCTCTTGGCAACTTTGTCCTCTTGCGTAGTTTGGGATTGATGCTACCCAAAGAGTCACGTGACTTGATGGAGATTCCAGAATGCCTGTTATGTAAGACTGACTCCAGTTCTGCAATCTGCCGTAAGACAGATATCCTCAGGTTTGAAAACCTGTACAAGAAGAAGAAGAAGAAGAAGGTACTTTAGCAAGGACTTTTTTAAAAGGAGGGGGGTGGATTTGAAACCAAGGTGTTGTCAAACATCCCAGATTTGTTGGAAAAAAAACAAAAAAGAGGACGTCATGTTTTGGCTGAGAGGTGTCCAAACGGAGGAACCGGGAACCGTTTAGTAGTAATTCCGTAACTGAGAACTTGCTCTGCAGATAAGAGGTTCCCTGCCCTTCATTTCCACCAGAAGGAGCTTCAGGGGATCACGCCGGAAAAGGCTCCGGGTTTATCTCTCGTAGGGCTGCTCCTTGTCAAGGTACAGGTAGTCCTCACCACCACAGTGGAGCCGCAGATTTGGGTTGCTAAGCGGGACGGTTGTTTAAGTGACCCGTTCTGGCCCATTGTACGACCTTCGCGGCCACGATTTCAAGGGAATCCCTGCAGTTGTTAAGTGAATCACATGGTTGTAAAGTGAACCTGGCCTCCGCACTGACTTCACTTGTCAGAAAGTCGCAAAAAGGGGATCACGTCACTCACACACACACACACACTGGACATACTGCAACCGGCATAAGTACATGCCAGTGGCCAAGCCTCTGAATTTTGATCGGGTGACCCTGGGGACGCTGCGACAGTTGTCAGTGTGGAAAAGGATCTTAAGTCCCTTTTTTTCAATGCTGTTGTAACTTCAGTCACTAAACAAACGGTTGCAAGTTGAGAACTACACCTGCGGATGGCTCTGGGATCAGGGCAGAAGTGGCAAGGTCCCTGTCCCGTGCAGCTTTGCTTCCTTCAGGAGCTCCTCGCACCCGGCCGTATTCTTCGATGCTCCTTGTTTATTGCTGTGATTCCTTGGCCGTTGCATCCTCAGTTGCTCCAGGGCGGAGGCAGGTGGGGGAGAACCAGGGCCCTGTTGTGGACTTTGGCTCCCAGAATTCCTGGGGCAGGCCTGCTCAGCCACGCTGCCTCAGGAATTCTGGGAGTTGGAGTCCACAAGTCACAACAGGGCCCTGGTCCCCCACCTCTGCCCCAGGGAGTGAAAGGAACGCAATGCCTCTTCACCCCACCCACCAAGGGTGTAAATTGGGCTGAGAGTTCACAGGTGGTTCAGCCCCACCCCAAAAGGAACTTCCTGTCTGAGTGGAAATCGGACTCTCCCATTGCTCCATCCTCCGAGCCTCCTCGCGGGGGCACGGGGGCGGGCGGGGGCTGGCGCAGATTTTCCATTGTGCGGAGCTGCCAAAGCCTTGCTTCAAATCCCCGGTCGATGATGAAACCCTCGGACTCTTCCTGCCCCTGGTAGGGTGGTTGGGTGAAGCTCATGCCTGATGATGCCCTGCAAACCACCCCGAGTGGCTTGGCAGAAAGTGGTGAGACATGCGAGGGTTTTCCTTGCTGCTCCGTCACTTGTATCTGGTTGTGAAAACTGAAGCTGAGGCAAGAATCCGGGCCAGGAAATTCAGGTGAGGCGGCCTGGCAGCTGCAGCTGGCCAAGGGCTGTGTGTGAGCTCACCGTGATCCCATCGAAATGGATTTCAAAGAATCCTTCCTTTCTCTGCGGGCACCACAGGGGAAGGAGGTGAAGCGGAAAGGGCAAGAACAGCCGAGGTGCCCAGCCACCAATGGGAAGGCTGCCAAAGGAAGCAATTTAGGCTAAAATGAGGGGTTTGAAGAAAGAAAAAAAATATCACGAAAATCCGCCTGTTTTATTACCGGTTGTTCTTTCCTGGTCTGATTTTTTTCGAAGATAATCTCTGCTAATTGAAGGATTTTGCCCAAGTGCATACAAAGACCTTTGAGAGAGAGAGAGAGAGAGAAAACCCTGCCCAGTGGCCAGTTTTTCTCCCCCCCCTTAATTACACCTGTTACGTTTTGTTTCGCGAAGGAGCATTATTCAAAAGGGCAGCTGACTCACAGGATTTGGTTTTGTGTGGACGTTTGTCAATTTTGGGCTTTCTAGAGACAAAGTTAACTGCCTTCTTCAACCAAATCGGATTGCAGGTAGTCCTCAGCCTACAACTACAATTGGGCCCCCAAATTCCTGTTGCTAAACGAGACCCTTGCTAAGGGAGCGCTGCCCCATTTAACGGCCTTTCTTCCCAAAGTTGTTCACGTGAATCCCTGCCGTTGTTAAGTTAGTCACACGGTCGTTAAGTGAATCTGGCTTCCCCATCACTTATCAGAAGGTCGCAAAAGGGGATCACTGACCCCAGGACACTGCAACCGGTCATAAATACGGGTCAGTTGCCAAGCCTCCGAATTTTGATCCCGTGACCCTGGGGATGCTGCAGCGGTGATAAGTGTGAAAAACCGGCCCGAAGCCCCTTTTTTCAGTGCTGTTGTAACACTAAGCGAACTGTCGTAAGGCGAGGCGTGCCTGTATGCCAATCAAATCCCAGCTCTGCCACTTGATGGCATTACCAGGCATTCAGAGGTGCCAAAATATTTTTTTTCCCCACTGTCGTTCAATACTTCGTTGAATGTTGAGGTCCCTGGTGCAAGTTAGCCAGTGGCCTTAGCACCTGCCATTAAGATGGAACAAAGAAGCGCTGCAGGTGTTTCGCTTCTTTTCTCGTAGGCAGATTTGGTAAAATTTACCATCT